AAAACTAATTGACAATGAAAATTTGTTTTAAACATCCCCATATGAATTTCTGACTCATAATTGAGGCAAGGGCTGATGTTAAGTTCCACTGCATAAATCAAATGTGTTCCTGTTTCAGAAACTTCGTAAAACATCCATAAAACAATAATTGGATGGAAAAATGCTGGCAAAAGTAACCATTAGTAAAATGAAGTCTTGAGAACTGAGTTGTGCAGGTAATCCAGAGAGCTAGGGGCTGTGCCGTGGCCCCTGAATGTTGGTCTTCAGCTGAATGATTCAGATCGCCAATGTTTTCAAATGTTTTTGTCTGTCTTTAACTTTGTGAAATGTCAGGATTAGGGGAAACGGCCCCACAGTTTGTCCTAAGTGCAGCTTTTTCTGAAGCATCATGGTACTTACACAGGGTAGCTGGGAGGAAGAAAGAAAACAGCTCTGAATCCTAAAATCAGAAATGAAGAGAAGGGGAGAAGCTTTAAGTCCTTAGATTTTTTAAAAACAAAACATTGACTTTTGTTTCCCCAGAGTTCAGAGTAGTCCTGGGCCTCACAATATGGCCTGCTAGGACAGTAAACCACGTCTCAAAACATAGTGGGGCTTTGGGGTGAGAATTAAATACCAATTCTCATTTGACTGGTTACTATGTATTTTTCAAAGTGCACTGATGCTGGGTGGGGCTGGGACTGAATCTTTGCTATCACAGAGCCTAAGGTCTAGAAGGGCTACTGAGGACTTGGTGGCAACATGCTTCTAAAAGGCAAAGTGTGTCATAGGTCTTTGGTGGCCTGTCTGCCAAAACCCCATTTTCTCCTCTCTGGATGTCCATGTGTTCCTAATTTCCCTTACTGTTAGGAGTCGCCAGTGGGTGTAATTGAAAGCCACTGAGTGGAGCTTCTTGGAAAACAATTTGAGACAGGGCTGACTCTGCTGCTGGAAAACACATCCACTTGCCTCTTTATTCTTTCTTTTGATTCTGTCTAAAATGGAGTTAGTTACTAGTTCAAATTTTGGTAGCCATTGTGGACTGTGATGCAGTTTGGAGGCTAGAAGCCTTTTACTGAGGAAGGTGGGACAGGCAGGATGGAGGACACACAGGTTTTCCATAACTGTGGACTTCTTATCAGCCTTGGGTTGAGATGTGCTTGAGTGATGTTCAATCTCAATTGTCAACTTGACCAGATTTAGAATCACCAAAGACTGTGGTGGTTAGAATGAATGTATTGGCTGCTATAAGGTCATAGAGAGTGGCACTATTAGAAGGTGTGCTTCATTGGAGTAGGTATGACTTTATTGGAGGAAGTGTGTCACAGTGGGGGCTGACTTTGAGGTCTCATATATGCTCAAATCACACCCAGTATCTCAGTTCACTTCCTATTGCCTACTATCAAGATGTAGGATCCTCAGCTCCAGCACTATGTCTGCCTGCATGCCACACGTCCCACCATGATGATAATGGACTGAACCTCTGAAACTGTAAGCCACCCCATTAAATGTTTCCCTTTATAAGAGTTGCTGTGGTTATGGTGTTTCTTCACAGCAACGGAAACCCTAACTAAGACAGAGACAAAGCTCTAGGTGAAGGGGAAGCTGTAGCCACGCCTACTTAGGGGCTGGCTACAGGTGTGCCTGACCATGCTTGTGAGGGCGTGGTCAGAGTGACATAGAGTGACTGCGTTTGCGCTTTCGGTTTCACTTTGCTTCTTGCTGTACAGACGCCTGCCACACCGGCTGGCTAGGTCGCTCTGTAAGTAAGGCTTTTCCCTATTAAATACCCTTATATTTCTACCTGACTCTGTATATCACACACTATATCTAGGTGTGTCTGTGAGTTAATAGTAAGAACAAAGCTAGACCCAGGTTTTTATTTTATTTTAGTGTGTGTGTGTGTGTGTGTGTGTGTGTGTTCTTTGGGAGAGCGAATAGGTGTGTTAGTGTGATATGTGTTGGGGAGGGGTACATGCACCTCTGCATGTGTCCATGTACGTGTGAGGAGGTCAGAAGGGGACATCAGGTGTCTTGCTCTGTTGCTCTCTGCCTTGTCCTCTTGAGGCAGAGTGCCTCACTAAACTAGGTTGGTAGGTTGGTGTTCAGCAAGCCTTGTCAATCTTCCCGCTTCTGCTGGGGTTACAGGCACTCACAGCCACAGTTTGTCAAGTGGGTATGGGATATGAACTCAGGTCCTCAAGTGTTCTAGTTCAGTTGCTGTGATACAACCTAAAAGCAACCTGGGGAGGAATGGTTTATTTTATCTTACAGCTTTTGGTCCATCATCAAGGGAAGCCAAGACAGGCACTGGAAGCAATAACCATGACTTGTTTCCCCTAGCTTGCTCAGCTGCTGTTCTTGTACAGCTCAGGCCCATAGTGGTCTGGGCCATCCTGCATCAACTAGCAATTAAGAAAACACCCCACAAACATACCCATGGGCCAATCTGATGGAGGCAACTTTTCAGTTGAGGTTCCTTCTTTTCAGGTGGGTCAAGTTGATGACAAAACTAACCAGGACATAAATCAGGCTTGTATGGCAAGTGCTCTTGCACACTGAGTGACTTCTCCAGCCCCAAGTCTGCTGTACTTACCAGAGGTGCTTGGACATGGCCCATGGATGCTTCTTGATAATCCCCAGTCTTGATTTTCATCATCTTGTGAAGGAGCTTCTCCCATGTCCACTCTCCCTCACCAGCTGTCCCGCTCCTCTGATTCCCCAGACCCCACATGAAGCATGCAGAAAAATCTAAGGGTGCCTCCCAAGAAGGGTGGTGGGGAAGGCTCAGGTGTTTCTATAGCTTCTGTTGGCTTCTTTAGGGGGACCCTATTGGGCCCTCCTCTCCTGTATCACTTTGACAAGTCCACAACACACCAAATGAATAGGTTCATCCTCTTCTGGGTTCTCTCCTGATGGATGTTTTAAGTGGATTGCATGGGAGGGAATGACTCACATGTGGGCTGGTAATGAAATTTTGGAAATGGATACCTACAAAAGGGTAGAGAAACTGCACGCCCTGCAGCACTTGAGCATGCCGAGAGCTTATCCACTGATTCTAGGGAGTTACAAGAGCTTTCAATTTAGACTGATTAAAGAGCAGGGCAGGAAATAATATAAAATACATGGCACGGTAATTTGCTTTATAAAAGGCTCTGTTTCTCCCCCATTCTCTATCTTCTCTGTGACAGCCGTGTCCCCAGATGGATGTGCATGCTTAGTAATTGCATTAGCAACATACAAAGAGCTACTTCTCTCCTCTTTCCTGAATCCCCAGGTAGGTTTTTAGCATAATGACTTGGGTAACCATTTTTTAGCAATAGTCCTTCAGGTCTGAAGAGCACTTGGCTTCCAGTGTACAGGCTCAAGGCCCTGGCCAACATTACAAGCTTTCTCGAATGCTCTATGAGACTGAGCAGCACATGCAATTCCCCTGTGAGTTTTCTATAGCTAGTCTGACAATTATGCTCAGTCAAAAGTGGTAATTTCCCAAATTCTAGGCTGTAAGCCACTTCCTGAGAAGGGCAGGCATGGCCCCAGTGGAAGTGCTGCCCCCAGAGAAGACTTGTGTGAAGGGCACTATGGTCATGAGTGTGTACTGGCCTTAGACCATAGTGTGCCTTGGGATGTTCTTGATATAGCAGCATTTGGTAAATCCAGTTGCATTTTGAATGCAAACTCTTACCCACCTTTAAAAGTGGTCCTTCAAGGATAGTCTTGCATTTTTAAGAGGAGGGTATTCCTGACCCAGCAATCACTTGGCCATATTCTCAGATAAACAGCAGAGCAAAAAGGGTTGGACTTATGACTAGACAGAAGGAGGGGGCCTTGACCAAAGAGAGCATATGTGATCAGCACCCAGCAGTCATTGCTGTTCCCATACCCCGAGGACTCAGCATTCTTGACTGCAGAGTTTCTGGGGATGCTACTTGTCAATGGCTCACAGCTGGGCCCCTGGCCCAGAAGATACTTAGACTGAAGGCCGCTGCTGAACTGGAGTCATGGTTGGATGCTACTAGCAGCCTTCGCCCTGGCGCCTCACTTCACCTGGGGACTATTCTGCAAGGCCAGCCAAGTTCTGGAGCTCCTATGGAATATTGGCTGGGCTCTGATTATAGTTTGATGTACCCTTGTGCCCAATTCTGCTGCTCTCGTCCCTGTACACTCATTGCACTCCAATCTGTATTCCAGCATCAGTTAACCAAGAGCCTGACCTGCAATGTGCAACTTGCTTTCTCCCAATGCTGAGAGACCAGGCTCTTAAAAATCCCCATTCGTTGAATTTAATTGCTAACAGCAAGTTTCTTGGAAGGACTATGGGGAAAGATCTCAACATGGAGGGCCAAGGGTGGCTGTTTGCCAATACTGATCCATGTGTGCATGTAATTTTCAAAATTTGGAATTGCCTTCCAAGACAAAGTCATGCAAAGGGTAAGTGAGCTGGCAGAAACAGACTGCTGAGAAAATGATGTGGCATCGTAAATTAAGAGGAAATCCCACTACATATTAAAGTATTTCAGTCTCCTTCCTGAGCTCTCCCAGCTGACTCATAATCAATAGCATGTATGGGGAACTAATGATCAGAGCCAGCCAGCCTATCTGTCCTGGGGGTGACACAGATTCAAAGACAGCTGTTGTGCAGAGGAAGTTACAGCTGGATCATGCTCTTTGATGATGGTGTTGGGTCTCTGTGTTTTAACCTGGAGGTTGCAAGCAGGAAAAATTTAGCAAACTGCAATCAAGGCCACATTAGATGTGCTGTTAGTTTTCTGTCAGCTTAACACATCTGGGAAGAGAAAACCTCAACTGAGAAAATGCCTCCATTAGATTAGTTTATAGACAAGTCTATGGGAGACCTTTTCTTGATTAATGATTGCTATGGGAGGGCCTAGCCCACTGGGATTGGTACCACTCCTCTGCAGGTGGTCCTGGGTGGTGGTGGTATTTACTACAGCAACAGAAAGCAATCATATCAGTTCTGATATGTGAGGATGTTGGGTACAAGTCCTGACGAATGGTTGGCAGAGCTCCAGGAAATCTGTAACTTGATCGAACTTGCTGTAATGTATCCCCCAGTGAATTTGGAAGCACTTGGAATTGTGGATGAGTTTAACAAATCTACATGTATTTTGCACATTAACAATGAATTATTCAGTCACTTCATTATAGATATCCCCTACAATCGATGAGAATGCAGTTCTCAGGAGATCACGACTCACACAGCACTGTGGTATCTCCAGCTTGATTTTCCTCATCAAGAAGAAAAATACATGAGGGATAAGCCCAACAGATGAGCCTCATGGAAGCTTTCAAACTATTAATACACAGAATTGGAATCAGGTACCTTGGCAATGATGCCAACCAGGCGGAATGATTCCTCACAGTGAGACTCACTTACTAGCAGATGTCCCGTTGTGTCCCCTTGTCTGCTCATTTCCATTTACACTTAGGAAAGCTTATTAATTTTTCATCTTCCCTTAGGAATATCAGCTTGAAAAACATGACCACCCTCTGTTTGATGCCATGGAGGGGAACAGAGAGTCCTGCTGGCAAGGAATGAGCTACTGCACCAAGGAACAGGTAGTGATGGAGAAGGAGCTTGTGGCTCCCATATTCTTATTTCTGTGGAAGAGAAGACAGGCTTTTAAGGTAGCAGATCTCACCTGAGCAGACCTCAGAGATTAGTCAGTGCAAGGGATTATTGCTCTTAGGTAGAACATAGCATGGCCAGCACATATCTCCCCTCAGACCAGCTGGACTCTCTCAAGATGGCTCTGTTGTTATACCTCTGTATATTCGTCTTGGGCTGAGAATTCCCCTGGTGGGGAAGAGTCAGATGGCTCTATATGCAGGACATGCCACACAAGGTTATCAAATGTGGGCTGTGGTGCATGCATCAGCACACTGGAATGGGTTGGAATTTCCACTTCCAGTAGGTGGCCCAGAGACTCACTCCTTAGGCTCTTTAGAGTCCTGCAGAACTCATTCTTTACTTTTTCACTTATAGGAAGAAAATGGAGCTGGCAACCTGCACAAGGTAGAACTAACCTGAACTTGGAGAGAATGGGGGTTTCCATGGCTTTGGAGTTAGGCACAGGAATGACAATGCATCTTCACATCAAACGTTTTGGATTAAAGGGGTGGTCCCTACATGGGGAAAGATTGCTGTATTCTGCATCAGGAAAACAAAACAAAAACAAAAACAAAATAAGCAACTATTTTCCCATTCACTGCAAGGAAGCTAGCTATTGGATCCACATTAGTGGTGAATTAGTTCTGTGTTCCCCAGCAAAGCATCAAACAGCCCCACACTGGCTTTGTCTGCAAGTGCTTCACTTTGAAGCTGAAACAATTGACATTAAACATTGTAAAGATAAACTATGGTGTGATTTCCATGAGAAAAGTGTCTTTGCGTTTTCTTTTCAAGTTCAAGACCAGTGAGGGCTTAGAAATGAGACAACCAGATCCACACACAGTCACCAGGGTCCTGCTGAGCACTGTGACAGACTGAACTGGACAAGGAGACCCACATGCAGGCTAGGGGCAGTCTGCCCTGGGCTCTGAGGAGAAAACGTGGGCTGCCTGATGCCTTAAAGCACTGAGCAGGTGAGCAAGATTATGGTGAACAAATGTATGGCGTGGTATGGTATGAGAGAGAGAGAGAGAGAGAGAGAGAGAATATGGTTTGTGTCCTGTGGACAGGGGCATCTCTGAAGAGATGAGAGTGGTGAGGAGTGCACTGATGTGGGTGGCTTGATGGCCCCAGGGCCATGATGATGTGTAGGCCTGGGCTGTTGCTGGGGCCCATGTCTGTTTTCATGACCCAGCCATGGTCTGTGTTGATGTTCATGGCTCCTGATACCACCTAAGACTGAGAGGACAGGGTTGTACAGAGTAGGCCCCACCCCTCACTGGCCACAAGACCAGGGAGAACTGCTCCTGCCCCTCACTAGCTGAAGCACTCGGGAAAGAGGGTCCTATACCTCCCCTGGGCAGCGCAATAGAGCTGACCCTATTGGTGGGGAGTAGGTCAAGCAGCCCCGGAATGTGAGTGTGGGAGATCTGGCCTGGTCCCTCACCTGCTGTATGATGGGGTGGGTGGGGGGAGATGCCCCCTCCCCCATCACCTCTGGCAGATGGGAGAGCTGGCCCTAAGATCATAAGAGTGAGAGAGTTGTCACTGCTCCTCACCATCAAGAGAACTGGCCCTGCCCCTTGCTCATCAATGCAAGGGGCGAACTATCCAAGGCAGTGCTGGAGAGCTTACTCAAATGGTGAGAACAGGGGAGAGCTGGTGAGCTGACCAACCCAGCAACTACCCAGGTCCAGCACAAGGGTTATGAGTTGGCCCACTCCATCTGTGATCTGCAAGAGCATTTAAAGGGGACAGTCCTGCAGACCCAAAGCTTCAGGATCTCCACTACACAGGGCAACAACAGGATATCCAAGAGGAGTCCCAGTGAAGGCCCAGCTTGGAGAATGTAGCAGAAACCAGAGGCCCTGAACCAGACCAATGACTGTCTGCAATGAACACTTGCAAGTAAACGTATATGGATAAAAGAGTTTACAGCTTGACTCACTGTGCCACATTACAGCTTCCATGATGAGACTGATTTTCCTTTTCTTTTTCTTTTTTTTCTCTTGGATTTTATTTATTTATTTATTTATTTATTTATTTATTTATTTTGCGTGTGGGAGGTTGCAAGGGCAGAGGGCAGACAGTAAAGGATAGGGAAATGAATGGGATGGAGATGCATGATGCAAAAGACACAAAGAATAAATTAAAAGAAAGTTAAAAATAATTTTAAAAAATGTTTTTCAGTAAACACCTCTTTTCCAGGGAAGCATATGAGATAGAATTGGTGTTGCAATTAGTAATAGCAGTGTGTTTACATTTTCCATTTTATCTCTTAGAGAGCTCAATGAACCACTAATATTAAACCATCACTAATCTTTAGACTCATTTCATTCTGACTTCATGTAGTTTTCTATAAGATTTTGGACGAACTATACAGCAGCAGACTGTTATTTAGCTTTCAGTTACTTTCATGAAATACTTGGAGATAATTGGCTTACAAAGAAAAAAAGGTTGATTTTGGCTCATAGTTTTGAAGGCTGTAGTCCACATTTAGTTGGTCTGTAGCTTTGGGCCTGTGGTAAAATGGCATATCACGACAGAGGTGGATTATAGGCTTCGGTGAGTGCATGGTGGATCAGAAGTACTCGTCTTATGGCCAGGAAGCAAAGAGTGTGAGAAGATGCTGGGGTTTCAAAATTCCCTTCCAAGTCACACTCAATGACCTAAAGTGTTCTTCATCTCACTGTCACCTCCAGTAGCATCCAGAGACCAAGCCTTTTAATAAATGAGTGACATAAATATCCAAAGCATAGCAGACATTGTCATTGGGCCTGCTGGATGGAACTCAGTTTTAAAAGGACCTTTGCTTTTGAAGGTCACGGTGGGTTTGGTTTTTCTGTGTGAAGACTGGAAGCCTGTGGGTATATTCTTTTTTTTAAAGATTTATTATATATACAGTGTTCTGTCTGCATGTTTGTCTGCACACCAGAAGAGAACATTAAATCTCATTACAGATGGTTGTGAGTCACCATAGGATTGCTGGGAATTGAACTCAGGACCTCTGGAAGAGCAGTCAGTGCTCTTAACCTTTGAGCCATCTCTCCATCCCCTGTGGGTATGCTATTGATGGGCTTTTTCAAAAGCACATTTCTATTAGGTCAGACATTACTTGAGCTAGGAGAATCTTCACCCGACCTTGTCTTTGATTCTTGCTTTCATTGTAACTGAAGCTTTTGCCCCTTCACTGGCAACATCAGTGAAGTAGAAAGCAAAAAGCAGGAGATATCTGCTTCTCTGTGTGGTTCTGCTGGGGTTCTACAGGTGATGGTAAAGCACGGGCTTCTGCCTAGCCGGAGTCCCAGTCTCTGAATCTTCATTGGTAAGCAAACGTTCTCTCCACTCGACCTGCAGATACCTGAGGCGAACAAAGTCATTGTGATGACACGTTAAAAAGGAGATGCACACTGCACACGTCATCTGTGTAATGAAGTGCCGTGAACTGTCTGCTGCTTCACTTCACATCTCAGTCCAGCCTATATTCTTTGCCTCACTGTCTTCTAGCCGAGAAATGTTCGGAATGCCCTAATTCAGCAATTAGTAGGCAGTGAAGTTCTGAGGCCTAAATCAGAGGAGCCGAAGTCTCATTCCAATGTTATAAAGAGGCCAAGGGAAAGCTGGGCCCCCACAAACCATCTGTAGTACAAATTCCCAGTGCATCTGCAGGTCTGATTTATCTACCAAACTGTGGTTGGTGGTAGCTACCTTAGACAGAGGGGCCCTTAATCTTGGAGCTGTCTCTAATATTTGTTTGGGGACAGTGGAAAAATAAATGCATCATTCATGTTTTAAATGTGCCCAACTAACTCTAAGCCCATGGATAATCATCCCACAGTCTGATATTTGTTACTGGCCTGTAAAATTTGGCTACTGCCCCATGGCAAAGCTTCCAAGTGGTTGATGGATCTCATCCAGTGATAAAAACTTTGGCCATGATTGTAAATCACTGGGAGACTATGAAAGGCCCCCAGCAAGAGACTGTCTGCTCTTCTCTGTGTTTAGAGACTGCAAAGAAGCAGATGTCAATGGCCGGTAAGTCCTGTTCTGGTAGGGTCCCAGCACAGGTCTCCCCTGCCCCATGTGTCTCAAGCCTTGCCCTTCTCCCTGCTGCTTTTCATTGTGCCTTCTCAATCCCTTCATCCTGACGATGCACGTTGGTTGAAAAAAACAAAATATAACATTCAGTCATGAATAAAGTCATGGTTGCTTTGAATTCTAGAGCCCTTGATGGATGTAGCTGTTGGGATAAGGAACATTCTCTTCTCAGAACAGCACTCCTCTTCACCTGCCACCCCCTGCCCTTGTGGGGAACTGATCCACAGCAGTGCTATGATGCTTCAGTGAGAGGCCTGGCGATGAAGAGATGGGCTTCAGAGAAATTTGGAGATGTCACTTAGAAGTCATCATTTGAAATCTTGGAAAGAGTGGTACCTCCTAATTCACTGGTCTGACTTTCTTAGGATAGAGTCAGGGTGATAGTCTTTTTCTGTTTGTTTGACAGGGTTTCTCTGTATAACAGCCCTGGCTGTCCTGGAACTTGCTCTGTAGACCAGGCTGGCCTCAAACTCACAGAGATCAGCCTGCCTCTGCCTCCCCAGTGCTGGTATTAAACGCGTGCACCTTTAATCAGCTGGGATGATATTCTTGACCTATAATCACCAGATTGTTTACTATATCACTATTAACCAGTCTCGTTGAAATTTATGACAGTGTAATTTTAGATAATGCTAGAGATAATCTATCAATATATTCAAATGAATTCTAAAATCAAAGAAGAAAATCCAAGAGAAATAACAAAGAGTACTGGCATTGTGAATGAGCCCCTGAGACATTTTATTTTGTGTTACAGATGTTTCTGAATTGCCATGTGGCTGCTGGTAAGCAAACCCAAGTCCTCTGAAAGGGCATCTCTTCAGCAACCTCTTGAAATGTTTTTAAAATAAAAACACCTAAAGTATTTTTGTTTGAATACTTTTAGCTCTGGGTGAAGATAGCAGTGTCTGGGACTGGAGAATCCATTGGTAAAGTTGAGACATCATAAAACCAAACAAAAGTGGGATGAATATCTTCCCAAAGTCTGTGACCTTCCACAAGGGCCACGTGTCACTTTGAAACTTGATGCCAGCCCCTGAGCAGTCCAAGTTACTGCCTTTGCTTTATATAATCAGCTGGCTGATTAGGGAGCTAATAATAAATATAATTGAAAATCACTGTGGGATCCTTTGAAGTTTGCTGGCAAACAAGATCTTGTGGAAGAATGGAGGAGTGTGTGGGGGTCCCTGAGGTACTTCTCAAACAATGCTGTAGGAACTCAGCACCGTCAGCTATGCATTTAGATTTGCTTCAAGAAGTTCATAGTGTTTATGAAACATAATTATCAACTCTAATTCCCATCCCTCAAGAATGTCGACAGAGTAGTCATTGTCTACCGCCTCAGTATTTGAGTGGTGCTGACTGAGGCTCTTTTTATTCTTAAAGTAGTACGTGACCAGAACAAGGTACTCCTATTAGTCAATTTCTGTCAGTCCATTTCACTCGTGACTTTTGAACCTCCAGGACAGAGGTTTTTAGCAGAAGCAGCCTTGTGCTGCACAGATTTTTCATTCCAGGGCAGAGTATCTGCCTATGGGCTAGAGTCCTTGGAAATGGAACAGAGCTACAACAGCTTTCTGGTTTTGA